GATTGAGCGCGAGTATGCCGGACTCGGCCAGGTTTCGATCACGGATATGTCGACGCCGATGCTGACGTTAACCTCCTCGTAGCTGCATCCTAAAATGGTCATCGCGACGTACGTCATGGGAAGGAGGATCATGTAGTGCTTGGCTTGTGTTCCGAAATGCAGCATCGCTGCCCAACCCACTCCGAGCGGGACAAACATGATCACGTAAGCCGCTACTATCACTGCGGGCTCTGCTATCTCCACGGTGACCGTCGTTTCGTTCGACACCACCACAACAAATGCTTCCTGCCACTGCCAGGCCAAAACAAACGCGGATACCCACAATGACAGCAGACAATTAAACTACCGCAAGGCGATTGGTGGACAAGAGGGAAGCCGGGAATTTTAACACCACACGAGTCTCTTACAACGAAAGAAGAGGTAGAAGAGGAGCGAACACGATTTACAATACTACGGTGCAAAGGAAGTGCTGAGTGTGCCGCCGTCCTCCCATGGCACGAAGCTGGGTGGTATGATGTCAGTGCTGTCTGGCTGAAGTTAAATCCGCCGACCCAGTCGGCGTGTGTGAGAGGCTTCCCCATTCGAGTCGGGCTTCTCCGTTCGAGTCGTCGTCTCCATCGTCCTCCGTTCCATGTCTCTGACCCCTCCTCCTCAAGCGCTCCATCCACAGCGAAATTGAGCAACGTCGGAGTGGAATCGAAGGGAAGCCCTTTCCATTTGATCCCGTCCCCGCGAGGATGGGGGGGGTCCTGGGGGGGTCCTGGGGGGTTCCGCGGGGGGGTCCCGGGGGGGTCCCGGGGGGTCCCCTGGGGGGTCCCGGGGGGTCCCAGGGGGGCCCCTGGGGGGGGTCCGGGAGGGTCCGCTCCAAAGAAGCTGCCAAGAGGCCCCCAATATGCTCCCAAGAAGTCCCAAACGCGCCCCCCAGAGGCCTCCGTGCGCGTTCCGAAGAAATCCTGAACAGCATCCCTGAGGACTCTGACCCACGTCAGCGCCGTCGTCGTCGCCGCCGCCGCCGCCGCCGTCGTCGTCGTCGTCGTCGTCGCCGTCGTCGTCGTTGTTCCCGTTCAGGGTCGGCGGCACCAGCCGTAAGGCCTTCGCAATAATTGCCGCCTCTCCCCAGCCGCCCCCCACCCACTCAATTGCCCCCCCTGTCCAAGACTGCCGTGGCGCCCCGACGCCACCGAGGCCGAGGCGGTCCCCCCTCTCCGTCCTGGGAAGACCCCCCTGGATCCACGACACTGTCGCACACCCGAAGAAAATGATACAATTGGATCCATCGGTGTTCTCATATTAGAAGCCCAAGAGGACAGGACTTCCGGCCTGGAGATGTATGGAAGCCAGACAGGAACCGCTATGTGCAAGCACTGCTTGAGGAACATGCGTCGCAGAGAAAAATTCAACGCACAAGAACAGCTGTATTTCGCTGCATTGATGTTGGCGCCTTGACATCGCACCCTCCATGGACATCCCCAGACCACTCTCGGCTCGCACGCGGAATCTGAAGCTCAATATGAAGCAACCAAGCGCAATGCACAACCAAGGAAAAGTTGAAATGCTGCAGATATGTATGCATGAGTAAAGCTATTGGCACTCCCTGAGTATGCCCCAAGCTCTCGACTTATTCGCAGGACAAGAAGCTCAAACTGACGAAGCGAAGACAAACGAAAGAACAATGCACAAGACGCATCAAATGCAAAGAACTGCAAATCAATCAAAACTTCAATAGCAGTAGAAACTGTGTGGCTGGTAACGGTGGTTGCCAAAAAGGGCACCGCAATATCCTGCATCTCCCCAAACCTCTCACAACACACACGATGAATTCCAAGACAAAGCTGTAACACAACACAACACAACGGAATGCAAACACACACACACACATGCAATGCAAAATTAACTGCACTCCAACAGAAGCTGTGTCTCTGCTCACGGTGGTTGGCTCTTTGGTCACCGCAACTTCCATGAACCTCCCAAAACCGCTCCCGACTCACACGCGAAACCCTCAGCTCAGGCTGAAGCAGCCAAACGCAAAGCTAAGCTGGGGAATCTGCATTTGATCATCAAACCCTTCAGCTCCCACCAAAGATACTTACATGTTGATTGGTTGTCGTGAAAGTGATTGCCCCAAGAAGGGCTCGACAATACCCACGAAGACCGCCGAGGCATCCATCAAACAGGAGGCATCCAAAAGAAAAGGTCCCACATGAGCTCCATATTCAGCACAAGGCGTGAAACATCAAGTACGCCTATGCACCATGCACGTCACCCGAAGGGTGGCATGCTAAACACATGATCATGCTTGTTTATGTGTGCGCTCCAAGGGACCGCAAGAGGTCCTAAAGCGCCCGCCAAGCGGTTAACAAGAGGTTCTGCACAAGAACCATCCGAAAACAGCTCGAGTACCCCCCACAATAACTCCAAAACGGGCACGACCGCCCCAAAATGTATCCAGTATAGCCGAAGACCGGCACAATGTAGCCCCAAGACGCCGCTAGACAGCCCCAGGGTCCCCAAAGCTGCTCCGGGACCCACCCGGACAACCGCAAGACACTCACAGGCTGCCCGAATACCCCAAGAGTCCCCCAACCGGCCCAGAGGATCTCCCGATGGGGTCCTCCGGCAAGCCCCAGAGAGGCCACAGAAACACCGCATGTTACGCGCGGGAAGACATGATCACATGGCGCGGCATCTTCTCCACCGTGCAGGCGAGCTGCCGCATGCTACGCCCATGCGGGTGCCAAGGGGCGTCTGGGGACACAGGGCGAGGCTCGCCACACGCGCCACAGCCTTCTTGGAAAACCCCGCGGGATCGGCACACACAGAGGGATCTGCGAAGACGGCGTCCTCCTCCTCCTCCTGCTCCTCCTCGTCCTCCAAAAACCTTCCACAAGGAACCCAACCCTGAGACCCCCTCCTCCTCCTCCTCCTCCTCCTCCGAAAACATTCCACAAGAGACCCAAGGTGAGGAAACGTTGCGCTTTCCATCGCAAAACCATCGAAACCCCAGAAACCCAGGGCACCCTGGAAGCAACCCAAGGCCCCCACTGCACCCGCATCCTCCGGCTCGTCTTCCTCGTTCTCACCAGCATTGGCATCACCACCACCATCATTATCCTGCCGCAGCCCTGGCCTGGCAGAGAGCGTCTCGAAAGCATCGCTACAGGATCTTCTACAGCGCAGTCCGTCAGCCAGCCAGCCAGCCAGCCAGCCAGCCATTACCAGCATCATGATTATCATAAACAGGAACAACACCATGATCATGATCATGATCATTATCATCATCACCATCACCATCACCATCATCACCATCATCATCATCATCAACATCATCATCATCATCATCATCATCATCATCATCAGCACCATCAGCACCATCAGCATCAGCATCATCATCATAATCAGCATCGTAATAGTAATCAGCAGCATCATCAGCAGGAGCATCAGCATCAGCATCATCACAATGATTCAAACTATAATCCGCCTAAAAAGCTTCATATTTCGCCTGACCTCTAATCATTGTCCTCTTGCATTCATGGCATCATCCTCATCCTCCTCATCCGCGTAATTATCTTCGTCGCACATAAAATCACAACCAGACCTCATCGTGCATCAACAACATCGTCAGCATCAGCAACAGTATAAGCATCAACCTCATCGTTAGCATCACCATGATCATCATCATCAACAACATCAACAACAACATCATCATAATCAGTATCGTCGTCATCATCCTCATCATCAGCATCAGCATCAGCATCATCATGATCGTCGTCCTCGTCGTCGGCATCACCATCACCATCACCATAATCAGCATCATCGTTGTCATCATCATCAACATCCTCATCACCCATCACCACCCATCATCAGCAGCAGCATCATCGTACAATTAGTAAGATTCATGCAGATATGCATCTTCATCATCATCAGCAACACAATCATTATCATGAACAGCATAAGCAACATCGACAGCGTCGCAATCATAACCCTCATCATCCACATCCCCATCCTATGAAATCCTCATCACCCTCTCCCCCTGCCTGACCTCATCACCCTCGCACGAACTCATCATGATCCCCCTGATCCTCCCCCTCCTCCTCCTCCACCTCCTCCTCCTTCTCCTCATGCGCCTCCAATTCTCATCATCCTATCGCCATTGTCGCCCTCCTCCCCATACAGCATCACACTCCACCCCCGCCCCACATCATCTTCATAGTCTTAGTCCTGGACCTTCGTGGTCCTCATTTCGCCTCTGTCTCGGTCACAGAACCATCATGACCCGCCTCCCTTCTCGATCTCCCCTCCTAAAGGAAAACCAATAGCACGAAAAACATCGGAGCACAGCGTTGATGGAAACCCTCTGGGGAGGTGGGCGCTGGCTGCGCTACTGGAGCCCCCTGTGGGGCACTATTGGGGGCACTCTTGCGGCCCTGTCCTCCCCTACTGCCTTTCCTACCCCTCCTCTTCTCTCAACGCCTTCTCCTTCTCCTCCTTCACTTCTCCTCGCCGTCCACGGACATGGCAGTCCTGGCGGCACTACGGGGGCGTCCAGCAGCCTCGCTGTCCCTGGGCTCCCCTGCAGCCCTGGGCCAGACTTATCCTCCTCCTCCTCCTCCTCCTCCTCCTCCTCCTCCTCCTCCTCCTCCTCATTATCTTCCTCCTCCTACTCCTTCTCTTGGTTGCGCGCACAGGGAGGTACGAGGAAGGGGGGGAAGGCGTCTTAGACAGAGGTTACTTCCTAGTGGGCACTGGCCTTACATCTATAGATAAGACCCGCGCCTTCTAAGAAGCAGGGGTGCTTCTAAGAAGCCTTCCCCCCTCCCCCACAGTCAACCCATGCGCGGTAAAGATGCAAGAGCCTTGGAAGGCCATGTCGACACTTTGCGAGAGGGGCGCGGCTGGCGAAAGCGGCCAAGGATGGGCCGAAGGGAGAGGATGCAAGGGTAACCTGAGAAAGTCGCTCGTCCTTACCATGCGGGTTGACTGTACTTTGGAGTCCCGAAACGGTGCGGTGACAGACCGTGCGGTAACCTCGAAATCCCCCAAGACCTCACCGCACGGTCCGTCAACGCACGGTTTTGGGACCCTGGAGGCCCCTGTCGCCCGAGGAATCCTCGGAGAGGGACTCGAGTCCCGAAACCTTGCGGCGACCCCGAATCCCCGCCGACTCACCACAACCGTGCGGTCACCACACCGCTTGGGGGGCCCGCGATGCACCCCCCCCCCGACGCGTGGCGGATTTTCCCCCCTCCGGGGGATGTCCTCCCCCGTCTCCCCGGGGTCCTGCGCGTCCACCAGCTCGTCGGCCCGCGCGTACAGCGGGGAGGGCAGGTCCCGGCTGGAGACCAGCTTGCGGTCGGAGCGCGCGCGCTCGCGCGGGCGGGGCAGCCTGCTCGGGTTGGACGGGGGGGAGGAGGGCAGGAAGGAGGGAGGACAGGGCAGAGGATGCGAGGGGAGGGGAGGGAGGGGGGGGGGAGTTGACGATGGAGGGAGAGGAGGCAAGAATGAGGACGGAGGCACAAGCGGAGGGAGAAGGGAGGAGCAGGGAGGGAGGGAGGGAGGGAGAGAAAGGCAGGAGCTAGAAGGGAGGAGGCTCGAGGAAGCAAAGATGATGGAGGCGGGAAGATAGGGATTGAGGAGGAGTGACAGGAGTGAGAGGAGGAGGAGGAAGAGAAGGAGACGGAGGAGGAGGAGGAGGAGGAGGAGGAGGAGGAAAACGAGCCAGCACGGCAGGAGGGGGAAGAGTGAGAGGGGCAGGGAAGGGAGGAAGGTCGGGGGCTGCTCAAGGTGCCCCTGGCCCAAGGTGCCCCCGGCTTTTCGCTCAACGTTGAAGCCCCATGGGGCCCTCTGGGCCTCGTGAGGGGTGCTGTGGAGGCCGCGGGGGCCTCCTCTCGGAAATCCTGGGGGCACCCCGGGGCCAGGGGCATGTCCAGCAGCACCCGGCAGAGAGGGACCGGCGCAGCGTTGCACGCCGGGCGGAGCCACAGGGCCGACGCCTTCGCTGCGGTGCTCTCCCTCGCAGCAGCTTTGTGCTGCAGCCGGCAGCGCTTGGTGACGGCACAAGGGCGCCGTCCACGGCACACGCAGAATGATCGAGGGCCTCGGGCCTCGAGCCTCGAGCCTTTTTGAAGGGGCCCTGGGACACACGAAAAAAGACACACAAACCACAGGATTCCCCACATGTTCCCATCTCTTCTGGTTCTCTGTCTTCCCCCCACTTCCCATATTTTCGCATATTTTCCTGGGGATCGACGATTAATTGTGTCTGCGTGTGGTTTCCCTCCTGAGCCTTGGTGTGCTCGGGACAGCGAGAAGAGTGGCAAGAGTAAGCGGCAATGGCAGGGACACGGTAACCCGGGAGGCTGAGGCCGACCGCCTGCTCCACGACCAGCCGACAAGAGGGAGGAGGCAGAAGCAAGGAAGGCGCCACGAGGACGCGGAGGACGCGGAGGTCGGGCCGAGAAGGGGGGAGGGACCGAACAAAAACGAACGGGCGCCGGGACGAGGCGCTGGACCTCAGAGAACAGATCGAGACGGCGAAAGGGGGGGGCACGGAGAGGGGAGCGTCAACGGACCACCTCGCCAATCCTTGACCCCCTCACGCTTCCCCTAAACCGCCTCGAACTTGTCCCTATCCCTAAGATGGGCGAGCAAAAAGCGAGGACAATCTTAGGGATAGGCCCTCGGAAACTGAGGGAATCCTTCAGATCAGCATCGAGGTGAGGTGATTCGGGGGGGCGTAAGACCTGGGTACAGGGGACTCGGAAATCCCCGACGAGGTCGTCAACAAAAATGACGAGGCCGAGCCTGCATTTTGAAGAGGCCTCCCGCTGCGGACATCCCACGAAACTCCTACTCGTCAAAATCCGAATCGCGGTCGTCAAAAAACGATGGCGAACCCGAGTCCTGGCAAACCCGGGTCTTACGCTCCCCCGAGCGATGTCAAACATAGGAATAGGGATATGTTCTAAACTGGTAATCCCCCTCGCAGTATGGATGACGCTGCCAGCGTCGGCCTGAGCCTGGGCCCCTTCCGCGGGGCCGGGCGCTCGTGCCGAGTCGCTCGGGGAGCCGTCCTGGCGCCGGGATGAAGCCTGAGGAGGAGGAGGAGGAGGAGGAGGAGGAGGAGGAGGAAGAGGAGGAGGAGGAGGAGGAGGAGGAGGCAGAAACGTCCAGAAGCTGGCCGTCACGTGCTTGTCAGACCCTCCGAGTCGACGCTGCAGGGAAGTGGCGGCATCGCAGCAAATCACTAGTACCAGAGCCGGCGGGGGGAGGCGGAGGCCGACGACTAGGGGAGGAGGAAGAGGACGACGACCAGGAGATCGAGGAGGAAGAGGAGGAGGAGGAGGAGGAGGAGATCGAAGAGATCGAAGAAGAAATCGAGGAGGAGGAGGAGGAGGAGGAGGAGGAGGAGGAGGAGGAGGGAGAGGAGGCCATTGACGCCACCCCACCCGACACGGCGCGACGCGCTGCCTCGGCGCCCACCAAGCTGGACTGCGGCGCGCC